CGCTTCAGAAGACCTCCAAACTGTGGAATTAGAAGCCAACCAAAATCTCGTTTTTCCCATTTTTCGCTTTTGGTAATATTTGGTGAAAGCACAGCGATCAAAAGCGAAAAATGGGAAAAACGAGATTTTGGTTGGCTTCTAATTCCACAGTTTGGAGGTCTTCTGAAGCGGGATTCCTGAGATGGACAATGAAGGAGTAGTGCTTTGTCTTGAGTGCAAAAACGAATAGCTAATTCACCTTTGAAACAAAGTTAACCATGTTGGAATTTGACCATTTCACTTGAGTAGCCTAGTATCTTGAATCTTCAGAATTCGCTCACACTTTGTCTACAGGGGTTATTTGACATGCTAATTATGGGTATGTTGCCCATTATGTTTGACAGGGCCTTCAAGTAATGCTATCTTAAGTGTATGGTTCAGGGGGGGGGTCTTATTAAGACAGCAATCAGGGGGGGGGGTCGTAACCAGCGATCGTGTGCCACACCCCTTACTTGTCCCTGCTTACTACCGATGTTATAGGACTGGAAAGGTGAAAAAGTGAAGGTGCAGTATCCGATGGTCATCGTTAGTAAGGCAAGTATAGAAAATGTGCTATTACACAAACCGACTGCTAAGACGAGTATAAGCGTAAGCTCTTGCTTAGAGAGCTCTAACAAGGGAACGATCCCAACTTAAAGGCAGTGTCCGGGCAAGATGGGGTTTTGGGATAGGGTTTTCAGTGCCATGTGAGAGTGGCCTCCCTCAGACACAACATCGCTCAAGTACGACGTCATAAAGCATCCATCCTAAAGCAAGAAAAACAACCAGAAAGTGGGGAAACTTACGCCTTGGGGCGGGGTCCTCCGAGCTGTCCGAATTCCTGCTTTGCGGCAGAGTACGCATGCCGCCACAGTTAAAGGCAGTGTCTCACCAAAATTTAGTTGCCGAGATTTTTGCATTTTGCAAACCCGTCGGACCCTGTCTAGCACTGTATGGGCTTGAAATCGCACGTAGTTCCCAAAAACCCCGTTTTCTGGAGGCCCCGTTTTCTGGAGGCCCCGCGGAAGCAACGTGGACGAGTTGTGCCTTCCAACTTCAGCCTCAGCCACAGTGGCAGCAACACAAGGGAGGTGAATGCCAAGTGGAGGGACATGTTCAAACGCGTAAGGGGGGAGACCGAAGCAGTCGTCCGCGCGTACCAAGACGCTCTCCGCGTACCACTTTGAGTGAATTTTTCTCAGCGTGGAGGGGGTCAAATTGAGTGGGACTTGTTGCAATGGCCTATTTAGAGGTCTCTATAATAGAATATGTGAAAATCTGCGCGACCTCAACTTTGGTAAGACACTGCCTTTAAAATGTGGGGTCCCAGCGACTCTGCGTCTCTGCCTTGGTGGGAACCGTCGAATTTCAAATTGTGCGGCTTTGGAAAACGTATGTTCTCGCCGTTTTCGCGCTTTCTGATAGGGATTTTCGGATTCGGCGTTGCGGATAACCCCCGGTAAGTGGATTTTCTAGAAATCGAGTTTTTGTCCGGACACTGCCTTTGAGGTAGCATACTCGAATGAACCGCAAATCATTAGATGTATTTTGATGAGCTAATTCCTGCTTTCCTTGTTTGCGATTGCGGTTTTCTGGAAAACGTTATGAGCGATTAAAAGTGTGAAGTCAGTGAGGTTTTTTAATGTGCTTTAAAATCTAGCTTGGGAGTGTATGACTAGGATGATATTGAGTGTGCTGATGTCAGAAATGCTCATATTTACCGAAAACACAATTGAGCGTTTTTGAACAAGTAATTTTGAAGACGTGGCGCCGCATGTCCTCCAAATTTGAACTTTTGAACGTCCATAACATTTTTCAAAGAATCGCATCACTAATAGGGAAGGTAGATTTGGAATCAGCTCACCAGGGCGCATCTGAAGATAGGCGGTTCATTACAGTTCGCCACCTTAAGTGGAGACACTTTCCTGATAAGTATAGTTGATTCGTTAACCGCACGGACTTGACATCACTGTGAAGCACGCGCCGCGAGGTAGAACGCTTGCCCCACTACAAATCATTGTGCAAGTCGTGCTCTCGCGACAATTTGGCCGCGCCGCGCGAGATCCGCAGCGTTTGAGCAGTTCGTGCGGTCAACGAATCGAAGATAACTTCAAAACAGGAGAACAGAATTGAGTCGGCTCACCGATACATCCAACGAATTGGCAGTATGAAATAAGCCTACATATCCGATATACAGGGCTCCTAAATTGCAGAGTCGTTTGCACCAGCGGTCGCCCGACCGCGTCGCGCCCGAGCATCAATGGCGCCGTCTCGATCGATGGCGGCGGCGCCGGCAAAATGCACGGGCGCGACGCGCTCGCGCGACCGCTGGTGCAAACGACTCTGCAATTTAGGAGCCCTGTAGTTCACTATAATAAACAAGCTTAATGAACTCAAAGCCATTATTGATTATCTGTCGAAAAAGGTGCACATGGATAAGATTCAAATTGCTGTTCTTACGACCGGCAGATGAAGCTCGATAATGTCATAATAACTCATGTGCAAATTAACTTGTGTATACTATGAACTAGAATAATCTGGAATTTGTAATAACTAACTTCTTTTTACGATCACTCCTCGAAAACCGAAACCATGGACGTTCACTTCTGGAGGAATTGCCGTGTCTTTCACGGATAGAAGAAAATGCCATGGACTTCATGCTATCTGTGGAGATATCACGTTTGCTCTTATCTTATATATAAAGCTGAATGTCTGTTTGTCTGTATGTCTGTCTGTATGTCTGTCTGTCTGTCCGTATGTGTGTACGTATGTTCCGAATAGAAGATTCCATTTCTGAACCGATCCGGACCAAACTTGGCACACATACACTTCGGGCCCCGGCGGGTGTCATAGGCTATTTTTCGTCATCGATCGATATCGATTTTATCGATTTTTTTGCAAAATTTGAGCTACGGGGCTGGGAGTTGGCACAGGGGGGTAATCGAGCATGCTGATCACCCCCACGGGGGGTTCAAGCATGCTCGATTACACCCCTCTGCCAAATTCCAGCCCCCTAGCTCAAATTTGCAAAAAATCGATAAAATCGACATCGATCGATAACGAAAAGTGGACTGTGACACCCTCCGGGGCCCGAAGTGTATGTGTGCCAAGTTTGGTCCGGATCGGTTAAGAAATGGAATTTTCTATTCGGAACATACGGCGGAGTCGGGTAAGCCAGCTAGTGCTTCCTAAATAGTCGAGTATTTCGAACAGATCGCTTTTCACACCACCTCATTGACGGAGGAATCAGCAAAGAATTTGAAGAGTGATTTGGCAATGGACATACAAGGATTTTGAGGGATTGGCGGAACAGTGAAGTGTAAGCAGAGGTTAGAGGTTGCAAGCATACATTACTAGTAAAAGAAATAAAATAATAGTTTGACAAAGTGGAGCAGTACAAAATGACTTTGTAAAAGCACCAGCATCATCGCAGTCGTGAAGATGATATTGCGCATGTCCTACAAACAAACCTTTAAAAAAAAGAAGAAAGAGCTAGAACCTCAAATCGAACGCCTAAAAAGAGCAAGAGTGGGAAATTGGATGCGAAAAAGTGAGTGATCCAACTCTATCATCGTTTCGGATCAATATGGACGAAAACATTTCCTCTGCAAGAGCTTGACCGCCACTCAAATTTTTTTAAATCTCACTATTCACTCCCATATGCACTTGTTACTTAGGACAAAGATCCAGAAAGTCATGCATCATGAGATTTCAAGTCGGTTGTCAGTTGTCATAAAACCATATGTTGTAGGATAATCTTCAATGAACTAGCACATATTTTTCTATCTGGTGTTATACCCCTAAGCAAACGCATGCCTAAATCATCATTTCATTCGTTTTCTGTCTTTTCTCTACATTACTTGGTTTCATGAGAGAGCATCATAGTTATTTACAAAAAAGAAATGACTATGGCGATGTCACCTCTATTTAGTCCCAACTCTTTTCGCATGACTGGAGCAATTATAACCATCCATACTGAGATATAAGCATCCCCCTCCTCGCGCCGCTCCATTTCCCAAATTACGAAATTTTCACTTATTCGCTTTGAAACGCGGTCTAGGAGATACAGATCCAAAGTTCACAAAGTGTGCCGCTGGACCACAATGAAGCGAAACAAATGGCAAATAAATTGAGAGAGAAAGGACAATTGACATATACAGTGCTCAATAGAGTTCCACTTGTGAAGTGAAACAAGATTACCTTCAAAGGTTCTCAGTGGGATTGAGCTGTTTTCTATGCACAGGGGTTAGAGTGAATATTTCTAATCAAACTAAACCCCATTGCAGTCTGCCAATGGAATGCACGATAACTGGTCCAGAACATCTACACAATAATATGGAAGCAGCAGCGGCAGACCGAGGAGCGAGTAAGGAGAGGGATTGGAAGTTAGAGTCACAAAACTGTGCCAGTGACTTGTTGTTTGTATTATTAGTCAACTGCAATAATTTTTGAAAAAAAAATTTGTAATTCAAGTCATTTGTAAAAAAAAAATTTCGGAGTAATGGACCCCTAAAAACTTTCGGAAACATCCCAAAAATATTTCGCAGTGCGTGGAGGAATGAAGTCGTCGGTTACGACGTCAACAAGCCAAAGGCCCTAATATATCAACTTATGAGCACGAATTTCGCCTTCATTGTTAGAGTGGTGCACATACCAAATTTCTGTCAACTCTATTAGGAAAACCTCAATTGCCTTGCTCTGCCATGGAAACATTTTCAAAAAATAAGTACTGTATACGCGGGAAACTATATGATTTTCAATGACCCCGGAACTTTCACAAAGATAACTGGTGTTCAACCATCCACAATCCCACACACCTTTTGTTCAAACAGTAGAAGATTACAGACCCACAGGAGAGATCATCTGTATCTTACCGAATGACTTATAACAACAGTTCTGATGCGAATAGGCCTGTTCTGCTAACGAGTAAACATACATTTCATTCATTCGCAAATCGGAGTAAGGTTCACTTATTCCATCATACTCGTCATCGTTATGCCGCAAGACGATCGTCTAAGAATCTCGGCAATCCTGGACCATATCAGGTCAGATCCAGATGGCCGTGAGGGATTGCCAGTCCTTCAAGCATTCCAGCTTATTTTCAGCTTCGATGTAGCTTTCGTTCGACGTAATGAAATCCCCATCAGCCTCATGGGAAGCGACGTAATCAGTCACAGCAAATGGGTATACCTGGTAACCTATTTATGCACATTACCGATTACCTATTCAGGAATAGTCAGAGCGTCATTTTAGGTAGAGTGGGAGCTAACTAATGGCGCGCTGATTCAAACTTGGGAGCCAGGCGATCGCTTATGTGGTAAAGAGCTTGATGAATACAATGAGGTGTGCTTTATCTCATTGCAGGCTTCCCAATGATATTTGCAGTTTAGATACATGGCTTGACGGAGGATAGAAATACGAGCTGGGCGTTGGTACATTTCTACCGCGTTAAAGAAGAAGAGAACGATGGGGTAAATTTCTACCGCGTTAAAGAAGAAGAGAACGATGAAAAAGGCGAAAAGAAACACAACTAATCTTACTAGTTGCAAGAAGACTAAAGACCATTATAACAAAATGACATTCAACATCCAATAAATTTCTGTACAGATTTTTAATAAAGAATTTTGATCGCTGAGATGCTCTACAGAAATACAAAATGTGTGCTGTATCGTCTACAGGATCTCATCCACTCAAACTATTATAAAGATCAGGCATCATCGCAGTTTGCGAATGACAAAACTGTATGATCACCAGCCAACAGTAAGTTTTCATTCAAATGAAAGTATCTATAAGCAGTCATACCAACCAAACACGTCCAAACACTGGCAATTCTATTATGGAGACTGCTTCCATGATTCATAGAAAGGGTTTGTCTTAAGTTCGAAACCCGACGTTTTGTGATATGAAAGTCTGTTCTTCTCAGAAAAAGAGTCGACATATTTAATGCGTCACGTCAAAATTGTCGGGACTAGTAAATTATTTCGAAGGCTTGTGCATAGAAACTATGTAGTATCCTATCCTGACTTCAAATGAAATGCTTCGCATGGGATCGATTCTTCGAAGATGGTTGAAGGATAAAGAAAGCAAGAACTCAATTCTAAACTTCTTATGTGTACCTCATGGAACAAAAATAGGTAAACAAAGGTAGCCATGATCATCACCGACAAGATAAAATTCTTGACGAGAAATCAAGCTTTGCATTACATTTGATACACAACTTTGATATTCCGGCGGAGAGATAAAGGCGATATGGAAATTTCAAGGAAAAACATCATGATGTGTTGCATGTGCAGGAACAGCAGTTTCTATTTCACATTCTTTGCAGGGGTTAATCGAACTCAAATGCAATGCAGTTTTCTAGCAATCAGAGGTAACTTCTCAAATCTACAATTATGATATAATCAAATCAACCATATGTAAATTCGATCAACCCAAACCTCGCGGAACACCAACTAGCGAGCAAATCAGGTGTCATTCAATGAAGCTTTTTTCCTCTTTCTTAGCAATGTTTCTTTTTCTGATTTGTACAGTCTTCGGAATTAAAATCATCGACCTCATATCAAGGCGGATCTTTCGATATACAGCACGTCCCTGATATTCCGATTTTAGTATTCTTAAATCTTTCTGCGCATATCTCTACGCAAATGTATGTAGCAGTGCGCAGTGCCCTAGTAGATTCCAGCAAAAACTGTTCGATAGCACTTTCTTCGTAGACTATGGAGCGTTAAGCAGCCGCAGACTTCTTTCCAAAGGAGATAGAAGAGAATGGCAGGTGATTTGTGGAAAAATCTTGTCGCCCATATTCTACTCGTCATAGCCCCTAGAACACGAATCTATATTGCTAAGCAGATGTGAGTTTCGAAATCAGCAGTCAGATGACCTCTATGAGCAAGTTTTCCGAGATGTTCGGGTTATTTCATTTTTTCTCATTTCACGCTCTGAAGCTCGCCGGTGCATTTTGGTCAAAATGTTGATGATCTTAGATTGTATAGAAATTTCGCTTATAGAGCTTTTCGGACACGCTGTTTATGAAGGGTGGTCTCTGTCGAGCACAGGCTCTTTTTGCAGATGGCGAGGGAACTGTAACTGAATCGCGAAAGTGCGTAAATTCGCCTGCCCCTCTCGCGTATCTGTCAGAAACCTTGCCTGCTTGCTATTGGGTGTCAAACTTACTAGGAACTGTGCTATCGAATGGTGCATGACTGAGGCTCCAGTCTGTAGAAATCGCCGAGTTACGAGCCTACGGAAAACGTCCTCATAAATTCTGCCCAAAATGTAAAGATCGCATATTTTGTTGAAATTCCACCGTGAGTGCTTGTACGACACGCTTACCAAGTCTTTTTCTCATCCTTAAAGGCAGCGGATCGGCAAGATCCAGCGATTCAGGATTTTAACGCCGTAGGTTCCTTATCGCCCAGGTATGAAAACAGTGCAATCCCGGTGTTGCACAGCATGCTTTCCCTGCCGAGAAAATCGCTCTCAAACTTACACGCGCAGGCCAATCTTACACGCATCTCGACGAGTTGGCAATTTCCTTCTCACCATTGGAGGCTGCCCGCCGCAACGCTATAACTATTGGGTCCTGACGATTTAGCGTCATCGGCCTTGCTCCACTCGTCTAGTTCCAAAGCAGGGAAGGGCATTAAAAAACGCTTATTTTCGCCGATTTCAAGCTTTCAAAAGTGGATTTTCGAATCAGCGCATTGAATAACCCCAGGTAAGCGCAAATTTGACTGGGTTGAGATTTGCCGAGCCACTCTTTATTGTGTTAGATTTGGTGGTTTGAGTTCTAGCCACGAAATGGCTTTGATATTCAATTGGGCATGAAGCACACGCAACCACTATATACAATACAGTGGGAGTAATTGGGCGAAGCGAACACAATATCCGCAGTGCGGGTGTCATACAAGCACTCACGGTGGAATTCCGATGAAATATACGATCTTTACATTTTGGGCAGAATGCACGAGGACGTGTTTTCCTAAGCTCATAACTCAGCGACTTTTATAGACTGGAGCCTGAGTCACGCACCATTCGATAGGACAGTTCCTTTTTCCAGATTTTTCCAAGAGACAATATTTTTCCACAATTCACTAGCCCTTCTATTTCCATTGAAAAGAAATCTGCGGCTACTATTTAGCGCATCATAATCTACAGAAAAAGTACTATCTAAAAATCCTTGCTATAATTTCCTCGGGACAATGCTCTCTGCTTTACACCTTCGCGAAAAGACGTCCGCATAGAGACTCAAGAACACTGAATTTGGATTATCAAAGGCTTACTGTATACCAGAAGATCGCCTTGATAAGCTGAGCACAGCGCTGTTTTCGGATTCAAAATATACTTATTCCGAAGGAAGTTATGAACTTCAAGACGTAGAACTTTAAGACGCTTGATTTTTCCAGAATTCACCAATGCTTCTATGTCCTTGGAAAGAAGTCTGAGCCTTTTTAGCGCACAATAATCTACAAAAACAGTATTACCGAACAGTGCTTAGTGTAAACTTCTATATTGGACAGGCGCTGCTTCACATCTTCGCGAAAGGAGCTCCGCAGAAGAATTTGAGAAAATTGGAAACATATTATATCGAAGACATCGTACCCCCACATATATCGGATGCTTCGCGCCGAGCTGACTCGAATGGTGGCTTTGGATTCAGAATTCGTGCGCTCTGAAGCGAGATATGGCCACCCGACGGTGATGTCCGTACATTAGGCGGCGACCGTCACATCACTCATGCGACCGTCGCGTAAGTCCGCCTACATTCGCGTCTATTTTTCAAAGAATGTGATCGGTATTGTACATTTGATACACAACTTTGATATTCCGGCGGAGAGATAACGGCGATATGGAAATTTTCAAGGAAGAACATCAGGATGTGTTGCATGTGCAGAAACAGCAGTCTCTATTTCACTTTTTGGGGTTTAATAGACGTGGAAAGAGTAAACGAACTCAAATGCAATGTTTTCAGCATTACTTATCAAATTTCTACAATTATGATGTAACCAAGTCAACCATATGTAAATTCGATCAACCCAAACCTCACGGAACATCACCTGACGAGCAAATCAGGCGTCATTCAATGAAGCTTTTTTCCACTTTCTTAGCAATGTTTTTTTTTGTGATTCATGCAGTCTTTGGAATTAGAATCTACATAGTTCTCGTTTTCAAGTGCGCCCCAAACTGCGCACGAAATGGATATTTAAAATACAGAAGATTTACAGCATATGACGCGGACACGACTTCGCAAAAGTGTACTGAAAACCAATTGGAGAAGCCCAATAAATGTACTGTATCACACTCTGTTGGCTCATTTTAATAGCTGTGAACCTCTTCCAAAAGCGTGAAACGAACAAAAAGTTCGAATGATTGCCAAATCCCGTAAAGAAATTGTGAAGACCTAGAGGGCATTTGAAACTCAAAATTAAAATCCTTATCCAGAGTTCTTTAGTGCAAAAAGTTTCAATGAGACATTTTCAGCAGTTTGCACCAAATTTTTTACTTTCCAAGTCTAGGAAACTGCCATGTTTTTTAATTCCTAATATCCATAGAACTAGCAAGTACTGCGATCTTCGCCTTGAAACACAATTTTTAAACTCCATGCATATCTTTTATAACATAGGAACCAATGTTGTTTTTCGCGGCTTTCAGTTTTCGATCATATTCGAGAAGCTGATGACCGAAACATGGAAATTTGAGAGAAAACGGAAAAATTAGGAAATGCATGAACATGAAATGACTACAAAAAACATCAACGTCACTGCGATTGTGAGAAGCAAAGAAGTAGATTTACAGTGCATAGAAATAAATAAGCGAAGTAAGCAGTATCAAAGAAAAAGATAAAAGACAGCACACATTGATCAATAACAAGGTGCATTTTGCTGCCAAGACATAAGAGGACTAATGCTGTTGTCGTTGGGGATCGATGTAGATCAAAACAAAAACCTAAGTGGAAATTTTTTGCAGTTCTGCAGCGGGAGAATTTAGAAAAAAAAAGATTTTGGACTTCCGCCAATATTGATGCTCGGATTCGGTTTTAGCATGG